TCCAGTTTGGCTCGACCCAATTTGCTGAGTCATGATGCTGCGAGGCCAAACCCAACAAACCCACAAGAAGAATGATAAGATTTGTAATAAGTAACCTGGAAAAACGTAGTACACAAAGCGTGCTCCCATCAAGATTAGGAAGAATTTCATCCTTGTCATCCCTTTTGATCTGTCCTCCGTCTCATGAAGGGCTCTAAAACAGGGCAAACAAAACAGAGCAAGGCAAAGGAAATAGAGCATGTCAAAGTTAAAAGCTGCAAAGCCTCTGAGCTCCCAATCCTGAAAAGGGATTAAGAAAGGGTACCTAAACAGAGAAACCTGTGCCAGATTTGCAGGCCACCACATTTCAACAGGATCTACCAGGTACCTTCTCAGCATTCCAGCCCATCCATATCCCAAAACCTGAAGAACAGCCAAAGAGAAAAAGATTCAAAACAGGGGAATGTAAGAGAAGGGTCTACATCTTATCAATCTGGATGTTTTAGAAAATGGGTGTTCATTATTTTTGAGTTAAATCGATATTCAAAAACAAAACTTTTGAATTAGCCCTTTTACATTCATAAAGATGCAAACCTGGATAGTTAAGACGATGAGAAGGGCTAAGAAGAAATTCAAGCTCTGTTTATAATAAGCTTTCATGACAGTAATGACGCCGATGGAATAGGCTTCGCCGCCGCCATAGGAGATGCCACAGTTAGCAAAAATGGTGATGATAGCATGCTCCTTCATATTGAAAGGGCCAGGATTGAGAATAAACTTCCATCGAAAGAAATGGAAGTCCCTGTTTGGGAGAGTGGAGGCCATGAAGCGGCCAATTGGGAGAACAGCGATCTGCATAAGAATGGCGGAGATGGCGAGTGGCTGAGAACGGTAAGTGAAGAAAGTGTTGAGGAAAATGAGAAGGCAACAGGAAACGAGACCAAGAACCCATGATCGAAAAGTCATCACAGGAAGAGTCGGGTTGTCAGTTTCCGGCACCACCAGAGCCACCTCCTCCACCGAACACCGTTCCTCAGAAGGCAATTCGCCGCCGCCATTGAACATATCAGCGGCAGCGGAGGAATCTGGGAGGGGCGGGGTTTCCGAGGAGATTGAGAAGGCGTTAATGGGGACAACCATCTAAATTTAAAATATATGTTTAAAATAATTGAATGACCAAAATTTACTGATTTAGGGTTTAGGCGGGTGATATTGAACCCGAAAAAGTAGGCTAATACATTAAAACTTTTGACGTTCTATGTGAGGCGTTTCAAGAGTTATCATCTTCATATTATAACCGTAATAATTTAGTGTATAAATATAACCCGAAAAAGTAAAATTTAAAATACTCCTAAAATAAAAATATGTTGTATCGGGTGGATTAAAAAATATATTCTACACAAAATTAAAATTAAAATAAAAATTTAATGCAAGAGCCCAAAAGTAGGTCCCATAGAATCTCTATCTCCAACTCCAACCTTATGTCCAAATTATTATATATATAATATAAAATGACTCTCTAGACTAAAGTGTTTGAGAGACATCTAGAATGTCTAGAATTACGAAACATGTCTCATCTTCTCTAGAGCAAGTGGAAGAACATATTGGGTATAGAGTATGCCCTAAGTCACATGTCTCACCAACTTTAATGCAAGTGGCAAATTGTTGGGATTTATGGCCTAAACCTCGTAATTAATTATTTAGTTTTTAACCATCATTTTTATTATTTTATTTATAATTTAATTGTTATCCGTGTTATGAAAATCTAAAGTTATTAATGTAATCTTGAACAGTATGTGGTTGACATAGAAGAAGATCATGTTCAAGTAATAACCTAAAAAGTCTATAGTATATGGATAAGGTTGGGTGCCTTATTCAAGTAACACTTTTGATACAGCCCACTTTGTAATCATTACAAATGATTTGATCCAAATCGTTCATGTGAAAACATATAAGTAGGGGTATCCTATACAATAAGTTTGTATAAGACTGGACCAAGAAATATTTAATCTCTCTTTATAAATCCGTTAATTGAGAAGATTAATATTTCACATGATGATTATATACGACTCGATCTTAATCCTGAGTGAGTTATGAACTCCTTCCTGTGAGGGCTTGTCCTTTAATTTACATGGGTGAGAATGGCTCTTTATCCCATTCAATATGTCTACCATATTGGAGACTTGACCAAATAGAGAGTTGGAAACATAATATCATGGGATGGAATTCACACTTTCCACAAAAGGGGAGTAGATGAGTTGTTCTCTTAATATTAAGTACTGATTTCGGGACTTGAACAATAGGGCTCACCCTCTCATTGGCCCGAGAGGCACTTGGTTTATGATTGGATCATAAACAAATTATTCATTATAGAATTAGTAGTACTTAAGGTGAAAGATGTAAAACAGGGGTAAAACAGACTTTTCACCCAGCTGTAATTATAAACAACTCGTGAATGATCGACTTACTTGTAATGGTTATATCAATACACATAACTTGTCCTACAGTGCATAAGAGTGCAACTCTAGGTCCGTAATGGAGTGACCTATAGTTAATGAATGGAAATTGATTAATTAAAGAGTTTAATTAATTAATTTTATATTATTAGAGCTTATAATCGATAGGTCCACAAGTCTCTTTGCTAGCTCATAATAATTCTAAAAGGTTCACCTTATTTAAAAGAAAATTTGAAGGGTTCAAATTAATATTTAATATATTATATATATAAAGGAGAAAAATAAATTTAATTTGAAATATATATAAAAGGAGAAAAATATATTAATTTGAAAAGTTTAAATTAATATTTAATATATTAAATGGGTTAAAAAGAAAAAATATATTTATTGTATTTGTGATACAATTAAATATTAAATTAATTAATATATTTCGACATTAAATAAAAATATATTTGAAATTTAAATAAGATTTAAATTAATTAAATATATATTATGATATCTTAAAATATTGATGTTATAAGGTATTATATCTAATATATTAAATATGCAAATATATTATTTGGCAGAGATTCTCCAAAGACTCTCGGGCCAAACATATGAATCTTTCACACTTTCTCTAGATAATGAAATTACATCTCATACAATTCTTGAAACTCTTCTTCTCCAATCTTTTTGGGATTTTCTTTCGAAAGGCTCCCACAAACTTTGGCCTTGTTCGAGTCATAGCAAGGAAGAACTTGTGGAATATGAAAAGCATTTGCATGGTTGGAATACTTCAAGAAATCTTACAAGTTAGGGTTAAGTTCTTACTTCGTATTTATTGCTTTTGTTTTAATTCATAATAAAAATCAAAACGGTTTTGTTTTAATTCATAATAAAAATCAAAACGGTTCCCAATGCTTCCCCTGGATCAATCCAAGATTTCAGATTTATCCAAAAGATTTTTCCAACCTGACTTAATCCATACAAATATGGTTAATATAAAATTCTCAATATTTCACATTTCAGGAATACGTTTAATAGACGTAAATTTTTCGTTTTCATATACAAAATTGGTTAATACACATAAATCCGTATTTGCTTCTAGGATCTGCATTAATACCTAAATTAACCCACCAAACCTAGTTTGAAAGCCATCTAATAGTTGGTTTGCACGAAAGTATATATATATATATCGATAAAAGATAATAAGATAATAAGAGTTCGTTTACACCATATAAATTTCTAAATGGTTGGAAGAGTTGATAAAAATTAAAAAATGTTGCACTATTTAACTCGTTTGAATCTTTATTTTTCTAACTCATTGAATCTTTATTTTTCAAATTTCTATTTATTAATAACTCACCAAAATTCACCCAAGAATGTAGCAGTGACCAGAATGACTTTTAATGATAATTATTTTGATTTATATAAAAGGGCCTCTATGCTAAGTGTTTGAGGATCATCTATAATGTTTAAGATTACAAGACATGTCTCATCTTCCGTAGGACAAGTGGAAGAACATGTCGAGTATAGAGTATACCCTAGGACACATCTCTCACCAGCTTTAGTGCACGTGGAAGATTGTTGGGATTTATATCTTAAACCTCGTAATTAATTATTTAGTTTTTTAAAAATAATTTTTATAATTTTACTTAAATTTGAAATTTTTATAATTTTATTTATAATTTAATTGATATCTATAGTATGAAATTTTTATAATTTTATTTATAATTTAATTGTTAAAATTCAAAGTTATTAATATAATCTTATACACTGTGCAGTCAACATACAAGGTTCAAGTAATAACCTAAAGAGTCTTATAGTACATGGATAAGATTAAGTGTCTTATCATTCATGTGGGGAGACATGTAAGTGGAATATCCTATACAATGAGTTTGTATAAGACTGAACCGAGAAATATTTAATCTCTATTTATAAATTTGTTAATTGAGAAGATTAATATTTAACATAGATCATATGCGACCCGATTTTAATCCTGAGTTCATAAACTCCTGCCTGTGAGGGCTTGTCCTTTCATTTACATGGGTGAGAATGAGTCTAGCCGATTCAATATACCTGCCAAACCATTTTGGGAACTTGACCAAATAGGGAGGTGGGAAATCACTCTTTTCTATATGAGGAAAGTAGATGAGTTGTTCTCAGTACTGATTTCGGGACTTGAACAGTGGAAGCCCCACCCTCTCATTGGTCCAAGAGGAACTTGATTTATGATTGGATCATAAACAAATTGTTTATTAGAGAATTAATGGTACTTAAGGTGAAAGATGTAACTACAGGAGTAAAACGGACTTTTCACCCAGCTATAATCATGAACAACTCGTAAATGATCGACTTGCTTGTAAACTAACCCCCTTCTACGGCCTTTAGCGCTCACCTAATATCTTAAAGCATAAGCTTAAACTATAATCTAGACAAGATCAAAAGTGTAGCTTGTACCTTTTAGCCAATCCAGGGTGGTTCTTCTTCAACTCACTTAACCCCACAGCAGTTTTTTCTGGAAGAATTGATGGTGAATGAACTTAAAAGAAGTTTTTCTGCAGCTTCTGATCGTTGGCACCATGGACAAGGCTTGAAGAGCCAATGGAAGTACAAGATTCTATATATTTCACTATATTTATACAGTTGATGAAAAGCTATCAAACGCAAAAAGAAAACGTGTTAAGTGTTCATCTACAATAATGTTCAGAAATTTCTACACAATGTACAACAATCAAGATTTGCAGCTCGAATCATGTTTATACGTGTACGATCGTAAATGCTCCGGAGTGAATCTTTCTCTTCAGATTCTCAGAGTTGAAGTGAACAACACATATTTCATGGTTTTTCCTGTCAGCTTAGCCCTGATAAAACCAAAGAAAAGTTCAACGGAAATGGTTAGTCCAGTCAGGGATATTAGATAAAATGGTCGATCAAGAGTTCTAAGACCAAAATACCTGAGTTGAATCTTTTGAAAGAGAATCCGAACCGGAATCTGTAGCTACCTCAGAGATTCTAGCCTCCGATTTCTCGTTCGAATAACTATCAATCAGATAAATTGGCAAAGGTTAGGAGACAACTAGCTCCCAGGAAAGTATGTCGCTCAACACCATTTCACTTGCATTATGCTCACTCCTAAAGAGATATATTAAAACATAATATAAAATGACTAACTGAATGATATTACTATATGCTTACGTGGAGAGTATGGTCACCCAGATAAGCTCCACACAATCAACCCAGAGGAGTCTTTGTTCTACAGGAACAACACCGTATGTGATAAGATGAGCAAATGGCCAAAGTTTCCAACCCGCCTGGATAAAACAAAAATCCAAAATTAAACTCAGAGAATAAAAGAACGTCCATTCAAACCAACATCAAATTCAATTGAAAAGCACTGATAGTCTTCAAACTTCTGGTAATGAGATTTTCATAGTTGCTATGGTGTGAATAAAAGTTAGATTCAAACTCTCATGATATTGATTGTTTCTTCGTATGTATGAAAAACTGAAGTCACAATTAAATCAAGGGTCAACCATAGGGGAAAGGTGACCAAAAAACTAGTGTGCGTATGTTAAACTTACTACATACGAAAGAACCAAGAACGAGAAAGTTCAGAAGACGAAAAATGTACGACGAGAAATGAATCATATTGATAAGGGATAGTCTAAGGCAGAAAATGACTTCCCAACAATAGTTAGAACAAGAAACGGGAACCCAATGTGCTGTCTTATTTCAACTAACTCATAGAAGTGTGAAGATTCAAGAAAAGAATAGAATCTCTTACGGTAAGCATAGGCCAAAATGTCGCCCTTAGTTCATTAAATATAGAAACTGGGGACTCGAGCCGTAGGAATCCTAATACCACAAAATAAATACTGTTCCAAACTGCTGACCATGCCGTTTGATCGAATGCTACTTTAGCAGGAACTACCCACCAATCTTGAAAAGGAAAAAGACCCTGCAAAACACAACACAGATGATTTCTTCTTAAACGGGAAGTAATGAGACTGAAAAACTTTTCTACAACTCAAACAAAATGAAGTTCATGTTAAGGTAAGGAAACATCTTGAAATCAAAACACAAGGAATAAAATTCAGAAGGCATACATACCTCACAAAAATGATAGTAGTAGTGGGAAAGGGAACCATGTAGAGAAAAGCCAACAAGGCCTGATCTGAACATGCGTGTACGATCAAATTCGAATAGAGGTTTTCCTTCGACACACTATGAGAAGAAACTTAAAAATGAGAAAAATCATTTACATGGGCATACAAAGAGAAGATATTATGGGATGCAAAAATTTGATGGTATGTATGAGTTTACCTGCGCAATCCAATCTCCAAGAGAGTACACCACTCCACTAATCACCATTTTAGCGAGAACTGGGTGTGTCTTAAGAGCTTCCTCATAAGCACTCCAGTTGTGTTGAGGGGCATATCTCAGTATTTCAAAAAGTGTCCATCCCTAGAGGTTGGAAGGAAAGAGAATTAGAATGGTGTCTAGAGATGACATGTTTGAAGCGTAAGTTACTCTAAGATTACACATCAACGCACTCATTTAGACCATTGTCCAAGTGCTGAACATCTTGAGTGACTAAAAACACCCGGATTGTGTTTTTAGCCTCTTCACGAATAGCTCGAATTACTGGAGTTTGGGGAATTATTAGGATCACTATTGTATAGCATGGGCCATGAAATGCGGGAGCTCAATCTTTAAGGATTTTGAGATATAGAACGTGTTAGGGAGTGCTTGCGAGTGCTTTTGGGTGCTTCCTGGTGATTGATCCAAAAAAGAATGTGACTCTACAACTTCTTTTCTATAGCAATTTAAGTTGCATTTCTTCTTCCCAAATCATGAAACTCTTTACAGCTTTTCCATTTGAACCAACCAACATTCTATCCCAAGTAAACACAGAAAACTATTGAATTGAAGCAATTGAAAAGTATGACTCACATGCCAATAATCTTGATCGATGGTGAGCAACTTCGTGATAGCATAAGAACCCGCCGCAAGAACAATGGTCGCATTTATAATCCGATCAATTATGACCTTCTCACTCTCCCCGCTCTCTGTTACACCGCCATCTCTAACAGTACCAGAAGAAGAAAACCCCTGAATTTCACCAGCGCCTCCCAACGAGAGCTCGCCGAATCCACCTACCGCACTCCCCATCTCTCCCTCCACGCTCTCCCTCTCCACCCGGCTCACCGCCACTCCTTCTTGCTGGTCGGTGAAATCAGCGCTCTGCACCGGGATAACATCGAGCTCTTCCACCGCCGAGTTCAACGCCCAACTCAACTTCTGCCCATTTCTCGAGAAAATTGAACGCTGCGGAAGCTTCAACGCGTGGAAATTGGGAGCGGCGCGTAGACAGGCTCGTTTTTCTGTAATGAAGGAAGTGAACCTCTGAGGAGCTATGGCGTGGACGGAAGCCATGGCCGCGTTGGAATGAAATGACGACTCGGGAGAAACTGAGTTGCCAGACGATGTTACTCCGAGTTGCAACGAATAAGAGGAAGGAGACTATATAACGTGGTTGTTTGGGTGCTGATCTGGTGCATAGTGATTTAATGTGTCATCGAATTTGAATTGCCGTGTGATTGTCGATGGACGTTGATGATGGGAGGTGTGGAATTAGTAGCTGACCAGATGTGCGATAATAGTGAAGTAGGGAATCATTTTCTAGAAGAATCCCGACGGCCAATTACCGTACACATACCATGAGTGGATAATATTGATCCGATAAAAAAAAAAAAAAAAAAAAAGTGTTTGATCGTAAAATAAATAAATAAAACAAAGAAATAACTAAATAGATAACTATATGCATCATTTAATTAACATTCACTAATTTCTTTAAACTAAACCTTCAAAATTCGCATATTTGATGAAATTAGATATTAAACTTAGAATAAAATTATTAGTAAAATAATTTTAAAAAGGTTTAAAAAATATCCTTAAATTAAAAATAAAAAAAAAATCAAAAAAACCTTGAAAATTTAAATTTAGCATTAACATCCTCAACTTACTTTTAACTTACTTTTTAAACTTTTTTAAAATGTTAAATGGTATTTTTTAGATTTTTTTTAAAATTTAAGAGTTTTTTTAAAAAAAAAATAGAAAGTTAAAGGTTTTATTAATTTAACCAACACATTTAGATATATTTATAATTATTCTTTTTTAAAAAAAAAAAAATTGACTATTAAAAATAAATGGTAGCGGGTGTAAAGAGGAGAAGAAAATCCCGGCACAAGTGAGTTTGAGCAGAAATCAGGGGCTGAAAATCTAAGCCCACAAGTTCATCCATAAGTGGGCCCACTTAAGCCCAAAACTAAGGGCCCACGACGTGGTCACGATAGCTCAAGATGAATACGACATGTAGTCCTAATATCTCCACCTTGTATGAAATAATATCATTCTTTAAATCCATATAAACCATTTAAATTCTTTTTCTTTTCCATTCCAATTTTGCAAATTAAAATTCTAAGCACCGAGGGATTCCACGTGTTCGCTGTTTTTTTTTTTTTTTTAATTTTGCAATTTTCTTTCTTAGTAATGGGTGTGTGGAAACTCCACTTCTTGAATTACGCCCATAATCGGATTTCATTTTTTTCTTTTTTTTTTTCGTTTATAAATAAAAAAAAATACAATTGTTTCTATAATATTTTACACTATGGAAATTAGAATCTAAAATGACGCGACACTCTTTTAAAATGGAAATTTGGATTGTCAGGTGTATTTTTAAGTTATTGTCACTTCGAAGTCTTAATTTTTGTATGAATTTTTTTTTAAAAAAAAAATCTATTTCAATGATAGTTTTGAAGCGTTTATGAAATATCAACTCATGATTATGATTATTATACTATTTGAAGACTATGGGAGAGTCTGACAACTAATCTCTAATAATGAATTTTCTAGATTGACATAATTCATATATGTACTATTAATGAAGTCGCATCTCACCCATGTATGTGTGCGCATGAGATTTGAAGTGATTCTCGGGAATAGTAAAGAGTTAGCTAGATCATCCAAATTATGATAAACATGAGGATTGATATAAGCTCATATGAGCTAAGATTACTTGAACTCAATGATTGGGATAAGCTAACTCGAGTACTTGAACTTGATGATTGAAATCAACTCAAATGAACTAGATTATATTAACCGAATGATGGAAATAAGCTCAAATGAGCCCGATTATATGAAACTAAATGAAATCCCTATGTTTACAATGACATCATACGAGTTGATATAACTAAACAAGAGATAAAACTCCTATAATTGAATTGATAGTCTTAACATGATAAAGGTAATAATCTATGAGAATGATATTTTAATATAAAATCTAAGGAAGTTCTAAAAGCGAAGACATGTATATAGTTTCTAGTAATAAATTATAGTTTACAATATATATTATATTTGATATTTTATTATAAGGCAAATATCTAGTATTTGCCTTATTATCATGAGTATCTTTTGTTATTTCCATTTATTACTATTTTCATATCCTTGTAATTCATTTGATTATAAATAAGATAACTTTCACACCATTTAAGTGTGATGGATTAATCAAACATTCACAGTTTTCCTACATGGTTTATGGACGATTGAGAACCTACCGGTGCGATACTTATTAAATATTTTTATACACGTGCTACTCTTTCATTTCATGTTGTACCTGAGTTATATGGCTTGTGAAGAGCACCAAAGTGGATATGATAAGAAAAGCGGTGTTGTGCGCCGAAAGCGGAACAAATGTACTCACAACACCAAAATCACTCAAGACATACAATATTGCACTAAAAAACTTGATGTTTCAACAGCAGAAAGAATGGCATTATATAGCCTTCTGCTAAACCTAAAGATAAACTAACAAGCCTAAAAATATTAGCAAGACCTTGAGAATAGGTCTTGGTCCTAGAGAATAGGGCTTATGACAGTTTTTAACAATCTCCACCTTGTCATAAGATCTCCAAGTTGATAGCGAATTTGGTTGCTACCACGTCAACACACTACTCCTTCCTTCCGACGTTGATGAGATCCAAATAATGGCAGAACTTTTCACGAGCAATCACCTTTGTCAACATATCAGCAGGGTTATCAGCAGTTCCAATTTTTAGTAAACGAATATCCCCTTTGCTAATAATTTCTCAAATAAAGTGAAAACGGACATCAATGTGTTTTATACAAGCATGATGGACTTGATTTTTTGACAAGCAAATAGCGCTCTGGCTATCACAAAATACATCTATATGTCCCTGCAAAATACCCAAGTCATTGATCAAACCATGCATCCAAATAGCTTCTTTAAAAGCTTCCGTTACTGTCATATACTCTGCTTCAGTGGTAGACAATGCAACAGTAGACTGCAATGTTGAACGCCAACAAACAGGTCCACCAGCCATAGTAAATAAACATTTCTTGTTTTTGAAACTTAATATCAACATCAATAGTGCCAAGAAAGTACCTAAGAATCCATTTTACAGCCTGCCAATGCTCTTTACCAGGATTATGCATATAACGACACACCATGCTTACTGCGTGTGAAAGATCAGGTCAAGTACACACCATAGCATACATCAACGCACCAACAGCATTTGTATAAGGAATGTTCTCCATATACCTTTTGTCATCGTCAGAACTTGGACACATGGAAGCACTAAGCTTGAAATGAGGAGCAAGTGGAGTACTAACGGGTTTGGTTGAATCATTCAAACTAAATCTTGACAATACCTTGCGTAGATATTGAGACTGAGTCAACCAGATTGTACCTTTTTTTCGATCTCGCTCTATCTCCATTCCAAGTATTTTCTTTGCATTGCCTAAGTCTTTCATTTCAAATGTTTTAGAAAGCTCATCTTTGAGTTTATCAATCTCCACCTGTCTCTTTGAAGCAATTAACATATCATCAACATATAAGAGCAAGTAAATAAACGATCCATCATCGAGACATCGATAATACACACAATGGTCAAATTGACTATGAGTATACATATGCTCTACCATGAAATGATCAAACCTTTTATACCATTGGCGAGGGGATTGCTTCATCCCATACAAAGGTTTCTTCAATCTGCATACTAAATGTTGTTGTCCAACTACTCGGAAACCAACTGGTTGCGCCATATATATTTCTTCTTCCAAATCTTCATGCAAAAAGGCAGTTTTTACATCGAGTTGTGCAAGCTCAAGATTAAATTGAGCAACCAAAGCCAACAATATTCGAATCGAAGAATGTTTTACCAGAGGTGAGAAAATTTCATTGGAATCAATACCTTCTTTTTGTGCGTAGCCTTTAGCCACAAGTCGAGCCTTATAACGTATACCAAAAGGATCTTCCTTTTTTGCAAAAACCCATTTACAACCAATTTCCTTCTTACCTTTTGGAAGCTGTACCAAATCCCAAGTTTGATTTATCTTCAATGAAGCTATCTCCTGATTCACAGCCTCTTGCCAGTGTAAGCTATCCGGGCTTTGAATAGCATCTTTGTAACTGTTAGGAACTCCATCAATCAAAGAGAAAGCATATGCTATCGTATCATCAAACCTTGCAGGTTTTCGAATTACCCTTCGTGGTCTATTCTTGGCGATTGACTCAGGTTCCTCCACTCTTTCATTTACAAGGCTTTGCTCCTCAAGACTTTGCTCTTTCTATTCTAAGACATTAAAGTTATTATTTACCTGATCAATAGGTTCTTCAGTAGGAGCAACCACATCAGGAGAGAACACCACCTTCTCCACCTGCTTCAATGCCTCGTCATTATTTTCAATTTTCTGCAAAAATATTTCGGACTCATCGAATGTCACATCTCGACTATTAACAATCTTACTTGTTTCTGGACACCATAACCTATAGCCCTTCACACCTTTGCTAAAGTCCATAACTTTGCTTTTTTTGCTCTAGGATCCAGCTTTGAGTTTGTCACATGATAATAAGCAGGACACCCAAACACATGCAATTTATCATAATCACTAACAGGACTACCTGACCATACCTCAAGCGGAGTTCTCCCACCGTTTCCAGAAACAGGTAAACAATTCACCAAGTGAACTGCATAACTGAGAGCCTCAGCCCAAAATGCTTTACTCAATCCTGCTTGAGACAATATGCATCGAACCTTCTCTGTTAATGCCTTGTTCATTCTCTCAGCAACTCCATTTTGTTGTGGCTTACCAGGAACAGTGAAGTGTCGAACGATCTCTTCATCTCGGCATACTTTAAGGAATGGATCATAAGTATATTCTCCCCCGTTGTCTGATCTCAGCCTTTTGATTTTCCTGTTCGTCTGATTCTCTACCATTTTCTTCCACTCTAGGAAGATTTGGAAAACCTCGTTGTTGTGCCTCATGGATACATCCAAACTCTCTTCGAGTAGTCATCAATAAAGGTGACGAACCACCTCTTTCCTCCCAATGAGACATTCTTTGTGGGACCCCATACATCAGTGTGAACATAATCCAAAATGCCCTTTGTTTGGTGTATAGCTGTACCAAACTTCACATTTTTTTGTTTACCAAATATATAATGTTCACAGAAATCAATTCTTCCAGTTGTGGCACCCTTAAGGACTCCTTGGTTCACCAGTGTCTGAAGCGCCTTCTCACCAGTATGCCCGAGTCGCATGTGCCATAATTTCGATGTCTTGTTCTTTCGAACTTGCGACAGCAGCATGCCCAATTATTGTGGTTCCGTTGAGGTAGTATATGCTACATCTTCTAGTTCCTGTAATTGCCACCAAAGCTCCACGAGCTACTTTCAAATTCCCTCCTTCCAAAATGATGCGATAACCACTCGCATCCAAAACGCCAAATGAAATCAAATTTTTCTTCAAGTCAGGGACATACCTCACCTCTTTGAGTTTTCGTATAACCCCATCAAACATCTTGATTTGTACTGAGCCGATTCCCATTATCTTGCAAGTACTATCATTGCCCATATAGACAACTCCACCATTGAACTTTTTGAAGTCCAAAAACATCTCTTTGTTGGGACACATATGATAGGAGCACCCAGAATCAAGAATCCATTCACTGGTTTGGCTAGCTGATAGGGAGATTGTCAAGGCATCATCTGTATCAGTGTCGTCATCTCTAACCACATTGGACTTCGACCCCTTCTCTTTTAAGATTGAACAATCTTTTTTCCAATGGCCTTTCTGTCGACAATATGCACACTCATTTTTATCAAGTTTTCTCCAATTGTCAGATCTACCTCTCGACTTTAATCGAGACTCTCCACATTCGTTCTTTTTCCAATTAGAAGTCCTTCCTTGAGCAGTGAGAACATTTGAGCTAGAGGTTTGATACGTCTCCTTTTCCTTTTTTCGCATCTCATTGTTTATTAAGGCATTTGAAACATCTTCAAAATCAATATTAGTGATTCCATGTAGTAGGGTCGTTACTAAAAACTCGTAGGTTTCCGGCAAAGAGTTTAATAACAACAACGTCTTATCCTCGTCATCAATCTTAACATCAAGATTGAGCAAATCAGTGATGATTTTGTTAAAATCATCCAAATGCTCAGCCATTGAGATGCCTTCCTTGTAGTCAAAACGGAAGAGTTTCTTCTTCAAATAGAGTTTATTTTCCACACTCTTCTTCATATATTTCACTTCAAGCTTGTCCCATAATTCTTTCGCCAGGGTAATCTTCATAAATGGATATTTCTGATCCTTGCCAAGACAGGATTGAATAATTCCACAGGATTGTCGATTTAATTTCGTCCATTCTGCTTCTGTCATGTCTTCAGGCATTTCCTCTTCGAGAGACACATCGAGGTCTTGCATGACCAGCAAATCGCTAACTTCGCCTCGCCAAACACCAAAATTATTGGTTCCATCAAATTTCTCTACTTCGAGATTGGAACTCCACACTCTCGATCCACGTCGTGATGGTTCTGCCATTTGCAATAATTTATCTGGATGAAACTCAAAAAACACAATTTTTTAAAATTGAATTTCAAGAGAATAAACACGATTGTGAGCACGTCTAATGTTCGATGAGGCCCAAGCTTTCACAATACCCCAAAATACCACAACCTAGCTCTGATACCACTTGTTGTGCGCCGAAAGCAGAACAAATGTACTCACAACACCAAAATCACTCAAGACATACAATATTGCACTAAAAAACTTGATGTTTCAACCGCAGAAAGAATGACATTATATAGCCTTCTGCTAAACCTAAAGATAAACTAACAAGCCTAAAAATATTAGCAAGACCTTGAGAATAGGTCTTGGTCCTAGAGAATAGGGCTTATGATAGTTTTTAACAAGCCGGTCATTACACCAACGAATACCAACTCTTAGGAATACCAAAAGATGAAAGTAAATGAATTAAGTTGCAAGTAACTTAATGGTACATGTAAGATATCACAAGCAACAAAACTTTACGAACAAATACAAATGAAACGAATCAATTGCTAGATCTGGTTTTGATAAGAACAAAAGAATCAATTCTCGTTCGGTAGGATAAGGCGATCTCCACCTTCCACGAGTTTCACAGATCGAATTATGTCTCCTGTTTTAATCTGAGGAAGGATGTCTCGTCCAACGGTTGTGTATCTACCAGACACAAGAGAGTATAAAGATTAATGAAACTTCAAAGGTTGAAAAGAAGAGACAAGGTTCAGTGGTCAAATTATTTATTACCCAAAAACTGAAAACTGCCCTTCATCAAAGGATAGTCCTCCCAAGCCAGACTGAAATATGAATTGCACAACCAGACAGCAAGCTCATGAGCAATTTCAACCAGTAACTGCTTCCAAAAATATGTAAACAAAATAATGAACCAAACTTACATTTCTTTTATCATACAGATAGAAGAAGAATTGATATGGTGAAGAATATTCCTCAGAATCTTCATTATGTGCCATGGCAACTGCCCCATACACAGACAGAGGTAAGACCGGCAATTCTCCATCCTTCCATGTCAGGGGAAAAATAATATAAGAAAAACGAAACGGAAAAGTTCTCTTAAATAAATTATAAGTCGATAATGAGAACAGGATTAAACCTGCACATTAAGGGTTGTTTTGTATAAGGGTTCAAATTGTCCTGACGGCTTTATTTCCAAGGGAATGCTATAGCCTTTGTTGTTGTCAAGACTATTTTCAGAAAGAACAGCTTGACTTGTACAGCTGAGTTTTGTTCCATTATAAGCTCCATCAATTACCTGCAATTCAGCGAAAAACATGGAAGATATACTGAATTTCCATGCACAATCAGTATTTTTTTCGAGCTAGCTGTACAGTTTTCTTTATTTCAACTTGTTATGTTACTTGTGTCATATATGAAGTGTTGATGATTGTTGGGAGGGAGTCCCACATTAGCTTATATTAGGGATGATCATGAGTTTATAAGTAACGAAATAATCTCCATTGGTATAAGACCTTTTGGAGAAGCCTAAAGCAAATCTATGAGAGCATATGCTCAAAGTGGACACTATCATACCATTGTAGAGATCCATGATTCCTTACATGGCATCAGTGTCATACCCTAAACTTAGCCATGTCAATAGAATCCTCAAATGTCGAACAAAGAATTGTTAGCCTCGAAGGTGTAGTCAAAAGTGACTAGAGTGTCGAATAAAGGGTGTACTTTGTTCGAGGGCTCTAGAGAAAGAGTCGAGGCTCGATAAAGAGGAGGCTGTTTGAGGGCTCCATAGGCCTCAAGTGAGGCTCGATAAAGAGGAGGCTGTTTGAGGGCTCCATAGGCCTCAAGTGAGGCTCTATAATGTACTTTGTTCAAGGGGAGGATTGTTGAGGATTGTTGGGAGGGAGTCCCACATTGGCTAATATTAGGGAATGATCATGGGTTTATAAGGAAAGCCATGAGAGCTTATGCACAAAGTGTACAATATCATACCATTGTGGAGATCCGTGATTCATGTGATTCATGTTATTCCTAAGATGGAGTACCTAACTCATCAATGAAAATTAAAAAGCAGTGTAAAGACGTCCTTCAATTAAGCTTAAATGGGGCTGACACTCAACTACCTTACCAGTTTTGCAAAATTCCCAGCTGTCAATGGTGCTGAAAATCCATCCACTACAACCTGGAAACGAGGATAATAATATCAGTATCACTTAATCCTGCTTTTGTCTTTATGTGAAAGATCGATGACCACAAGTCAAGACCAACGAGTTCGAGTCAGAGAGAAAATATATATTGTGAATTAAATACAATTTTTTCTGGAAAGCACAAATGACGTCCAAACTAATCAAGGTTCAACAAACCTGAATTGTAGCTGTATTGCTAGATTCACCACCTGCTTGTGGGGAAAAAGCTGAACCATCTCCTTTCTCAATGGTAAATTCAACAGTTCCTCTCCCTGTCAACCTACAAATCACTATGAGACATTGATATTTGACTCTCAAAACTCATGGAGAACGTTCAATACATTTCTATAATAAATTAACGGAAGTCGTCTGTATAGCATATGTCACACGAAGCATAATCACAAAGTTAATAATACACTAATCTGAGGTAACATTAGAATAAATCCATTTATCCAAAATGAAAATATAACTCCAATAGCTAATCTCACTTATCTTTTGTAAATCTGGAGGTAAACTAACAGAAAAGTAAAAAATACGAATATGGACCCAATCATGAATCAATGTATTATGACGTTTCTGCATTCCAAACTATATGAGTCTTTATATCATTCTTCACGATGATAAAAATTAAAAAGTAATAATTCATGAAATAAGGAGTCACCCTAATGCGAAAGCCATTGGAGGAGTTACATGTATACATTTGTCAAACTAAGATAAATGCATATTGTATTTATTTTGAATTATATGAATAACAATATCTTAACTAGGATAGCAGAATTTTTAGGATCATAGCAATTTTAGCGTTGCCCTTGTGACACAGAATCTAACCAAGTTTGGTTTAGGGATGGATACCCATACATAAAGGCTTAGGATGAAAATCCTAGTTTAGTCTTGAATGAGTAGAATTTTGAATATTAGTTGAGTCACAACGTCCGTATTCTTAGTCTCTCTTTCTCCTATCTATTTGTTCTACATCACATGCATCTTCACATACTGAATAAGGAAATATGGTTGAATTGCTAACCTAAAGCACTTGAATGCATCTTGAGGTTAACGACTATGATGGATGTTTCGAGATAATTCTTAGTCTTCGACAGTCGGAGAGTGATAAGAAATGAAATATGGGTGCAAGGGCGCCATTCAAACAGGAAATGAAGTATTGATGGGAATAATTACTGACCTTGGATATTTCAAGTATTGCTCAGGCAATAAAAATGACAATCCAGGGGCCTGTGGGACAAGAAGTTAAGGGAAAATAGGATAAGAACCCTATTATAACATAAAAAGAAAAAACATAAGCAGATAACATTGTTTCTAGGTCATGCAACTCCAACTTTTCCCCATGTCAAGCTGTGGGTAGTTCTTTAAGTAGTTTAACATGCTAACCTGCAACAATTCCAACTCTGCAACAGTATCAAGTGATGATGCAAGTCCTACAGACACTTTATCTGGGTCATTATCCTTAATACTTTGGAGGAGAGTTTGCAGTCCACCCTGAGAACCAAAGAAATGCTAAATGTTCATCTAGCTTCTGAATTACCCAATAAAATTAACCAAAACCTAATCATGAGTAGATTATGTGAAAGAGAGAAAAATGATAAAATTCATCGATGAAAAATAAACTGGGACACAAATTTTATATGAAGTCTCGATTGCAATATTACATTACTTCAATTCGTATTTACTATTCTATCCAGCCATAAAATCACCCCCACAACACTGTTTTCCGGGCACAGTTAGCCAAAAGACCTATTTATCATTCCAAATTCTAATTATAAGACTTTAAGTTCTGACCTACGAAAAATTTTACTGCTAGAGAGACTACTCAAAAGAGTTAAAATCGCTATGATCAAATTTTATGAAGCATTGACACTTCATTTTATTGTGAGTATTGTCTTCAATAACCACTAAACACAGGCAGCAGACTTTCATACTGACAAGAGGTTAATTTCTTAATATGATTTTTTTTTAAAGTTTGCTGCCACGTGATGACATTGAGGATATTGTTAAAACATTTGCTGCTTTAAAAGAACAAATAAAAACTAATGATGAAATGTTCATTTTATACTGTGTAACTACGCATGTCTATTTCATTATCTATTCTCTTTTTTCAAAAGACAAAAGCATCATTTTGAGGTCCATTAAATATCACGTGTATCTTATATGTTTCAACCATACTTCTTAGATCAAGGGCTTGTTATAATCTTCTTCCTTAATTTCAATCAGCATTATAATGGAGATGTACAGCAGGTTTCCAAGTCAAATGGAGCGCTGCTCTTATGTACCTTGCCTTCAGTTAGAGTTGTGTATAACGATGAACCTTTTTCCTTCAACTCTGATGGTATACTTCCCAAAATCAAGTCTTTCTCATCAATTGCCAGCTGCAATAGGCAAACATAAACAAGTCAAATAAGAAGTTTAGAATGTGTTACAGCTCCAACTGATAAATAGATCTAAACGAGGAAGGAAAACACAAACAAAAATAAAAGTAAACTTAACCTCATGGTCAAGGAAAGAACGACACAATATTTTTACCAGAAATTATCTTCTGATTCAAGTTAAACTATTGTACTACATGCGATAATCTCTCAAAAAGAGAGAGAGTTCTTCTCATTTAATGAATAAAGAATGTACAACCATATTTACAGGCAACAATGCAAAAAGAACAACAATTAAAAATTAATAATTAATCACTGATTAGTTACTATCCTCCCTCAAACACATGCACGAAGAGTAAGTTGATGATCTTTAGTAAAAATCGGTAAGTTGATGATCACTGATTGGACCACAGAGCTGAAGGAAAAAATTGGTATGAGCTTTAGTCAAAAAATCGGTAAGTTGATGATCTGTAGTAATATATGGTAGCTCAACATCCTAATTGTAATGACTCATGCCCAGAATTTGGATCAAAATTCGACACACTTGATAGCCCTAACATTATCCTACATTCCCTGCGACATGGTCACGTTACTTTTCGCTTCTAAGAGTGAAAACTATTCCCATAGGCCAACACGAGTCCTTTCAGCATGGTTTTTTCACACTCACATGTATCCTAAGAAAATTCATAGGAGGTCACCCAACATAGAATTACTCCAAGCAAATTACGCTTAACCATGGAGTTCCTATAATTGAGTCACAAAAAAAAGGTGCACCTTGTTGATATAGGTAATGACTTTCAATTCTTTTAAGCCTTTCGTAGTCATTATATCTTCAGGATCGCTCTCATTCGGTTGTGGCCTCGGTACATTCATGTACTCCTCCTTTACTTGGGAGTCAGTCACATGCCCACCAGCATCCGCATTGGTTCATTGATGAAACACATTTTAGAAGGAGAGGTATCGCTCTGATACCATCTATAACAACTCATGCCTAGGCTTCGGCACCTGATGGCTCCAACATCTCCAGCATCCCCAGCGACATGGTCACGTTGCTTACTCTTCGCTTCTAAAAGTGAAGACTATCTTCACAAAACAATATGGGTCATTCCAGCATGCTTTGTCTATAAGGTAACCAGACGTGGAATGTCTATCCAGAGAATCACCAGCCCAGGCTGAATCAGAATAAGCATGGAGACAAAGAAAATCAAAGTACCCTCGATGAAACAGTAAACCAAGACCAATAGCCCCTGAGAGATATCTCAATATCCTCTTAGCAGCAACTAAATGAGAATCAGAAGTAGTGTGCATATACTGAGAAAGTTTACTAACACAAAACGATATATGAGGCCTACTGAAGGTTAAGTAATGAAGGGCACCAATAGGAACTCGATTGTTTTTAGCATCCTCAGCAGAACAAAGAGCACCCAAGTAAGAAGCTGCTGCTAAAACAAGAGGAGTTGCACAAGACTTAGCACTAAGCATGTGAAAACGCTTCAAAACATCCCTAGTATACTTTGCTTGATGCACAACAATACCATTCTTATGAGAAATCTCCCAAGAAAGTATCTTAAAATTCCAAAATCTATCATTTCAAACTGAAGCTTCAGCTGCGAAATAAGAGCCTGAATATAACCATAGTGCCTTTTGTGGATAGAGTAACAATAGTGCTTAATCCATAGAAGTCTCACAGCCACAATATTTGCGACAGCAGCCGGAGAAAGTGTAGCATTGATAACCATCACTAGAATATGATCCTTCGCAATCCAATCCTCATAAACAGGATTTGAACAAGGAATGGCAGAAAGAAAGGATGCCGATTCAGAAGTCGTTGGTGATGGGATCAAAGACATAAGGACAGTAAAAGAGCATCCTGTTTATGAATTTGATCCATCAATGAATCAATAAGCTTATGAGCCTTTCAAAATCGAGGTCATTTGAAGCTTCTACGTTAGAAAATTAGATCCATACAGGCGAATTGAAACAAGATTACAGGTGTTAGAAAGAAGAAAAACCTGAGTAGAATACTCCTTGGAAGCAGAACAATCAGTCATGGGGAAAGGTAAAAGACAAATGCGTGGAGAAGAAAACAAGACGCAGACTGGAGGAATTAAAAACAGCAATCAAACACTAAGCAAGTAATTAAACACTGATTAGTTACATGAATGAAGAAGCAGGGTTATATGTTACCTTGAGAGCTTTCTTCACATTACCCTCCATAGTTCCATAAGGCTTCCTTTGCGGAATCCTTAGCAAATATGATATCTCTTCTAAGGAGTCCTAGAAGGAAAAACGGTGTGGCAAAACAATTAATGATCACCATAAAAGAAAAATGTACATACTAGAATCTCAGCAACAACCTGTATCGCCTTCATGCTCGTGTTTGCAGGAATTGCTCTCCTTAATGCAAGTTCTCCTGTTCTTGGGACCTTGGTGTCAGGTGAATAAAGTACTGCCATGGCAGGATGAATTGATTGAATGTCCCAATTCAGCAGGGGGAATGGAGAAGAAATTTGGATACATATGAGGATCATAGCAATTAACTTCCCAAATTCCCTCTTTCCATTTTCAAAACCTGAAATACATGACTGTCGGAGAAACTTATGCTGGTCCATTGCTTCCTGCATCACTGAAACTCTATTCAGAAATTGAAGAGCACCAAGTAAAAGAGAATGACCAAAATGTCAATAGAGGTGGCACATTCAGTAGATTTCTATCACTTTCATTCAAAACTTTGAACATAATTCCATTCGAAAAAGTTCTATTTGCTCCAAAAATCACTATACATTTCTCGCCAAGTTTAGGGACTAAACTCATTGAAACAAAAGAGAAATTTGAAGATACTTTCCGTGCAACCAATTAAACAGGAAAATTGAACTGACATTACGAAATTTACAAGAAATAAACACTTTTACAGTGAATCGGGGACCAACCAGTGATGAGTTCTTAGCAGACGCGGAGGAGAGTTTCGGGAGAATCGAGCTTCCAGATGACCGGGTAAATCGAACCATGCAATGTGTATGAAGAAAGCTGCATCTCGTAGTGTGAGGGGCGGCAGAGAGAGATAACCGGCGAGAGAAAACGGCCGAAGATAAAGGGAACGCCATGAAAGGAAGTTGGTAGCTGCAGAGAGGCCTTGGCGCGCCTCATCCGTAGAAGAAAGCTTATCTGAAACTGAAATTATAATTTATTTTTTAAAAAAAAGTTAAATTATAGAAAATAACTTCTTCAAAAAATTTCAATAATGCCATTGAAAATTTTAAACTTAATAAATAAATAACACTCAGATTAATAATAACGTTAAAATTTCAAAATATTAAAAATATCCTTAATTTTATGGTTTTAAAAATTTTTTAAATGTCGTTAAATTGTTCTCCATAGATGTCGACATAGTCGGAGTCATCTCCATTTTAAGAATTTGATGCGTAGGTCTTCGGAAAAAAATACTTATTTTTTTTCTACACATGATGCCAACTGCGGCTAGAAAAGTCTAGATAAGGTAAATTGTGATCTTCACGTGCCTCAAGGATGAACTTTTTTTAGGAGGATGTGATGACTTGTAAAATGATAAAAACTGTATTTAGGTTAAATAGGTTGAATATAGCAAGCTCAAGGTTTCGAGAGTTAGATAAACGCACTTCTTCATTAGTCATATTAATGTATTTATATGAGATTTGACGTAGGGATCTCGAATGTGGGTTTGAGAATTAATCAAATCGAAATAACCCCTCGAGGTAGGGTATGCATTTGGCACGCCCCATTGAACAAGAGTCTAGCTATGGATCGTGGTCAACAGTGTGGCTCAAATCCTTCTCTCTTCCAGGCCCATTTGGGTTTCGGGACATAACTCGATTCGAGTTTCATTTGTTTCCTAGTTAGGTAGCCTCTAAATTTTTTCAATCTCGATTATTCCCCTATGATCATTTCTCTTGAATTTGTACTTAATTTGAGGGCTCAATAGTTGGTCTTCTTTAGTCAATCTTTGACTTATTGATCTCGACGTGTGTTGATCTATTTAGACAATCTTTCAACTTATTGGTATTGGATCGGTCTTTTACTAAAATTTACTTCAATAGATATAAGTTTCTTTTTCTTTTGATATCGATATATCTATAAAGTTTGAAAGGTCAGGTGAGGAGTCTGTCATGCTATGATTTCCTAAATATTGTTTTCATAAATTTTATCATAAGAGTACACTAAAAAAATCTATACATTAAAAAAAGAATGCAATTTAGAGTAAAAAAAATTTCATATGGTAAAAAAAAGAATTATGATGAGGGGGTAATTAATTAATTGAGATGGGGGTAGGGTTAGAGTGGAAGTATTAATCACTTACTTAATTTAATTTCATATATAATCCATAATTAGTCACTAATAATTCAAACCTTTGTAAAGTAGTTTTGTACGCTTTCCTCACAATGGAATGCAATTAAAAAGAGGTATTAAATATGGGGTAGTTTTTAGATAACGATTCCTATATTAGATAATTGTGTGAATGGTCCCATATTCATTCTTTTTTTATTTTTTTTATTTTATTTTTTTAAAGAATAATATTAAAGAAAAATAAAACCAAGTTGGCTTGTCAATGCAATGTTAGAAAATCACGACCACACTCAAATATCTACTTAATGCTATTTTCCTTATTTAGGATTTACTTTCTTTTTTTATTTTCCATTTTAATTAAATTCACCCATACCCATATCTTCCAATTTTTAAATTAAATACGTAATAAATGTTTAAAAATTTATGTTTATGTATTCATCCAGATGTCACGTCAATTGGAAAAGAAATGACGATACGAGCTAAAGTAGACAATATCTGCTACTAGTGTTACATCTTTTTAATTATATTATTTTAGAAAGTAAAAGTAGTTTTCATATATGAAATTAATTCCTTCCACACCCACCTCTAGTTTGAAATTTAAAAAGTAACTTAAAATTGATATTCAACAATAAGATCTTTATTCAAATGGATATTTCCATACAAATCAAACCTTCCATTATATATATATATATATGATAATGATCTTATTGGTGAGTAGCTTGAAATATAAATGATATAATTACTGTTAAGTTTCCTGAAGAAGAAGAAGAAAGACCCCATAAGGGTTTCAGATGAATAACCCTAAATCCTTCATACATCTGCTCGTGATTCTATAGAAACACAATCAAAAGAACAATGAAATTATAAAATTTTCATCAAATTTAAAGTTCTACAGAAGCAGAGCAGTACATTAAGAGTTCATAATATATATATATATATATATATATGTTTATATAATCATAGTGTTCATAATTAACTACTCTGTACAAAAGGGTTTTACCACTATTCTATTTCAAACCAAAGAAAAAAAAAAAGTATATGTGTATACACTAACCTTCTTTCAAATGGGTATAGAATCTATTCTTATGTAGAAAGCATCTATGGCCTCAGTTTTGAAATTGGAGTGAGAGATAGAGAGAGAATTGTTTTTTTTTTTTTTACCTACTACCAAACAAAATAATATTCTCCTAAAATCTAAATCGTTAACCGGGTAGAATTGGATTGGGTTGAGTTGAATTGTTTACGAGTACCAATTTGCACCTGGGACTTGGTAAGTTGAGCGGAAAAGCCCGTCTCCGATGGAACCCAGGACGGTGTGGGCGTGGTGGTGCAGGGGCGGGGTTTGTGGGAGGTTGTTGAGTAGAGTGGCGAATGAGGAGGTGGAATTTTGGGGATTATTGTCGGTACTATGTGTGGTTGTGACAGAGGTGGAAGCTCCATCGGTAGTGTTTTCGAAATGCAATCTCTTGTTTGAGGAAATGTCTGAATGGTCTTGGTCTTGTTGTTCTTGTTCTTGTTGTTGGGTCCAGAAGAGCGAGGAGGGTAGGCGCTTTGAATTGGTAAGTCCACCATCGTTGTTGTTGGCACCCACTATTCCTTGAAGCAGGTTTTGATCATTTTGATGAAGGAAGGTGGCGTAATTGAAACCCAATTTTGGGTATTCATCATTGAGCCTCAGCGATTGGGGTATTGATCCTATCATAATTTCATCCATTGAATCTTCCCTCTCTTGATCCATTCCCCTATGCGAATTGTTTTTCTTGTATATTCGGCACAGTACCCAATCATCCAGCTAACCAAAAAACGCACAAAAAAAAAAACACTCAAAATCATGATTCCATCAACTCAATCAATGTTATGTTGTTGAATTACCTTCAAGGAGTTCTTCTTGTTGGCCAAATCATAGCCAGGAGGCCTATTGATACTGGGCTTGTTATCAGCCAACCTATATTCGTGCATAATCCAATTGGTTTTGATTCCTTTAGGCGGTTTTCCCCCATAGAACACCAGCGCCTTCTTCACCCCTACTTTCTGGTTGCTTCCACCCGAGGCCAACACCGGCTTATCCGTCCCTGTCGCCTTCCAGTACCCCGACGTTGCGGCTCGATTCGGCCGCGCTCCTTTCGGGTACTTCCTTTCCCTTGGACTGAAGAAGTACCATTCCTGTTCTCCAAAAGTAGCTTTCGCTGATAAAATCATCACAAAATTAATTACTAATTACAACAACACCACCACCACCACCTAAGGTTCTGAACATTAATTATGAAAAAATTGAAGATCGTACCTGGAAGCTCCCATGGATCGAACTTGTAGAGATCAACCTCGGCGATTATGGCGACCGGCAAGGGCACAGAGTTGGCTTTCTTCTTGAGATAGTGAACCACGAGCTCTTCGTCGGTCGGGTGAAATCGGAACCCCGGCGGTAAGTTCGGCTGCTGTGGTCCCGCCGACGAGTCGGTGCTCTCCATCGTCCAGTTTCCTCCGATGACTGTGAGATTCTGTTTTGGAAGAAGAAGAAGAAGAAGAAGAAGGAAATGGGTTTGTTGCAGTTACTCAAAAATGGTGCACGAAACAGGCGAAGGTGATGTTTTAAACGGAGGAGTGAGAAAGAGAGTTGGGTATGATCAAGTGCGGGCAGGATTATGTAAACACTTACTACAAAGCCAATAGAATATGACCACGTCGTTGAAAGAGGGGTATTGTTGTCTTTTGGAAGCCTGGAATTATGCCTTGATTCGAGCGGAGTTGGAGGGAGAATGATGCAGTGGATGATCACCTGATGCTGATGCGAAGTGTAACTGGAACCGTTAAATGACCGACGCGTGTGAACTGAACTCAGAATCATAACGCGACACGTGTAAGAGTTGTGTGCGTGTGTGGGGTCCACTCTCCACACCTACAACATTTTAAGAGAGAGAAAGAAAAAAAAAAAGAGAAATTGGAGTGGGGCCCACTGTACAAATTCCAATGGAAATCCATTTTGTTGTGTGTGAAATTTTTATAATAAAATAAAAAAAAATGGAAGAAATCAAGCCTTTCTCTCTCCTTTGAACCCACTGGTTGGAGAGCCTTCTCATTTTGGGTGCCCTAGTTTTCTACTTTCTAAATTTAGTTTTGCATTTATTTCTTTTTTTTTCTTTTTAAATTAAAACAAATTAAATTCTGGTTTTATTATAATAATTTTGTTTAATGTTTTTTTTTAATCATTATTATCGCCTCTATATTTAATTTTTAACTATTAAACACAAAAAATCATACTCCATCTTAATTCTTAAATCCCATTTTCAAAATAATAATAAAATTTCAAGACTATTTTTCTAATTTAATAAGCTTAATGACATTTAAATGTCTTATTATTAAAATTAGGTCTACATTAGTAAATATTTTTATTTTAATTTTTAATTTTTTACAAAGAGGGAGTTTTCTAGAATAAAGATTTTAAAAGGGCTTTAAAAGAGAGGTAAACAAAAGTAAATTTGAATGAAAGAAAAGTGAAAATGGAGTATGAATTATTGAAAGTGTAAAAATAAATAAATAATGATATTTAGGTATGTAAGTAGAACAGTTCAACTACTCATGCTTGATTAGCTAGGAGTAAAATCTAAACCTACCCGGTTAAAAATCCTCCCTTTTTAATTTATTTTTGTATATACACTCGATCAATAAATTCAAATAGACGTAAGATATATGAATAAAGAAATACCACATTTAAATAAATAAGAGCGATCCTATAGATACATTGGTAAAAGATAGGATTTTCTCTCAATATTTTAAAACGCGTCTATTAAAGAGAGGTGTTCACATCTTTACAAATAATGTTTAGTTATTTGAACACAAA